TTTTCCTGCACCTTTCGACGTTTTCCTGCACCCCTCGACGTTTTCCTGCACCTCTCAAATGTATGACGTCATTATGAATGACGTCACATCATAAAGTTGAAGGGCGTCATTTTGCTCCTTATAACTTCATTTTATCTATCGTCCATTTTATTTCATTGGCTTATGATATACCTACCTACATTGTGTTTGATGCAAGGATTTTATTATTTGTCATGAATAAAGTGAAACATCACCATATAAAACTTAAACTTTGACGCTATTTCGCAACAAACCGAATCCACGAAAGACTCAACAAGGTTGAAATTGGGGCGTTTTGGTTCCTCCAAAAAATTTGCAACGCTCCCATGCTACGCATGTATGGGAAATAGCTTCCTGCCCTGAGCTGAGAGAATTTAATGTTGTCACCTCGTATTTTAATCGAAAGTGGTACTTTCAATTAAAAAACTCGGTGACACCATTAAATTTTCCCAGCCCCGGGCAGGAATGTATTACCCCTACTACTACCCCTACCACTACTACTACCCCTACTACCACTACTCCTACCACTACCACTACCCCTACCACTACACTACCCCTACCACTACCCCTACCCCTACCCCTACCAACACCGCTGGGTCATGTCAGGTCAGAGAATAATTGGATCCATTCAGTACTAAAATATCAGACTTAAAGTGTTCCCAGCCCTGCCTCTATTCGTGCCATTCCATTACGTTTAATCGTATTTGTCGGAAATGGCGCTTTGTGGCATATGTGGCGCATTGCGACAAACGCGGCGCATTTTCACCCGGCGATTGAGCATGCACCCTTGCATCAAATTGCACCCATATCGGACCATATTTTTGACAAAACTATGCGATTTGCGACGAAGATGGCGCGTTGTGACCAATGTGACGCATTGCGGCAAACTCGGTGCATTTTTATACTTGTATCATACACTGTTCCCATTGAATGAAAATCAGCACATTCTCTAGCCACTTTTTATTCAAATTAAAAACTTACCCATCCGCCAATGCGAGGCACCCGCCGCCGATCGGCATGCATTTAGTCCACAAAGTTTGTCGACCCCGGCTCTCAATGAAGATCTACGAACCGATCAAAATTTCATTGGCGTTCTTCCAGCGCGCTCCACGCGCCAACCGTGCACCCCAGCGAGTCGGAACCTAGAAAAGGCGCTGACCCGCTCTGTCACCTAGGTGTGCAAATTTCAACCCCCTACGATATACCGTCTGGCCTGTAGGCCGGCTAAATTGAACCCACTACACGGCGTGGCGGACAGACAGACAAACAGACGGATCCTGTTCAAATAGTAGTATAGATTCTACCATCAATGGTTTGTTTTGATGGAGCTTGCGCCAACAACTGGGCCATTTTTGCGCCCAAACGTCATACTAGTAAAGCAAGCGTGTCAAGAGAGAGAGAGAGAGAGAGAGAGAGAGAGAGAGAGAGAGAGAGAGAGAGAGAGAGAGAGAGAGAGAGAGAGAGAGAGAGAGAAAGAGAGAAAGAGAGAGAGAGAGAGAGAGAGAGAGAGAGAGAGAGGGAGAGAGAGGGAGAGAGAGAGGGAGAGAGAGGGAGAGAGAGGGAGAGAGAGGGAGAGAGAGGGAGAGAGAGGGAGAGAGAGGGAGAGAGAGAGAGATCCAACTAAATTCAAGGACTAGAAATCCAAAGACTAGATAAAAGTCAAAGGAAATAGCCCACTTCTAACATGGGGGTTTGAACTGGAATAGCAGTTCCGTAGCTTAAGCTGAGACTAGTACAAATCAGAAGCTTTTACGGCCCAGCGATCACCCTAGGCAAAGATATTCCATTTCTCGTGTCCTAAAAAGTGTGCTTAAATGTTGTTGTCCTGAACAGCCGAAAGTGGTGCCCTTGTGAAGAAATGCCCAGAATGCAGCCACCTCAGCCTCACTATATCAAAATTTAACAAAAAATATTTTTTTCATAAAAAGGTTTTATTTTCTTTGCTGATCATTTTTAACCATAAAAAATTCGTACGTCCATTGCAAAAAAAAACAATTTCGGGAATATGAACTATTCAGTTTAAGAAGGTAGGAAAAGATAACGCAAACTTGTACTAGATACTGACTAGATGTAAAGACTAGAGAGGACTAGAGGGGTTGTGGTCAAGTCGAGTAACAGTAAATTACTGGGACTTTGATCGAACCGATCAAGGAAAAGATGTTCCCATAAAAACCCAGGGCGAATCGTCACCCAGAAGGTGGTGGATAGTGGTACCCGGAGAGATGTGACCGAGGTACCGCTCTGGCTTGGCTCGAGATGCGAACAAGATAATAGAAAGACAAGATCTAAAAAAGACGAACATGGAAAATGAGTCGTTTATTCAGCAATAGTAATATTGTTGATTTAACAATTAAAAACACTATAATACCAGCTGTTGGCCAATAGAATGGGAATTAAAAACACTATAATACCAGCTGTTGGCCAATAGAATGGGTCCTCGGTAGTGGAGAGCGGGGTGTGTTGTATCATGGACAAGTAGTAGGGGAGAGTGGGGCAGGACGCCCCCTCCGGTAAGACGCCCAGTACCCTCTAGCGTTAAGAGCAGAAACGCTGAGCTGTTTTTCATAGTCCCTGCGTAAAGCAAACCCAAAGATTGGTTACTTATAAAAAAAATTGTGCGTCTCCAGTGAAGTTTGCAACGTGGATAGGCAATAATGCCTTTTTGCTCGTTTTATATTTCATTTTGTCCCATGAAATGCAGCAATTATTCGTTCAGTTAATTTAGTACCCTTTTTCTTTGTTTTTGTAAGTGCATGTGCAACATTTCCCTTTAAATGACGCCACAATAAGCTGCGTTACAAATGCAGTCACATTTGGGCATATCATTTATGCTAGAAGACACAAACGTGTAAAACGCCCTGGTGGCTGCGGAGAAAGACGCCTCTAAGTCGGGTCATATTGGTCGCAATGATAAGAGTCCCATATGAAAAATCCGAGATATATGTACAGCCCTCTGCAAACTGCGTGGTAGGCATTCTTTTTCGACAAAACCGAGAATAACGCGAATACTATGTTAACCTGGCAGGCGGTGGGCCTCCCGGCCACCTTCCGCGCGGCGAGGGGGGCATTTTTGCCCCCCCCCCCGTATCTCCGAAACTACTGGACGGATCCGGAAAATTCAAACGGCGTTCGATAGCCCTGTCAAATTTGTCGACGGAAACCAAATTTCATTGACCTCGGGGTCACTGATGACGTCACGGGTCAGATCATAGATAAACTGTTTCACCGTTCACGGGTCTTCTAGGGAATTCGCTATAACACCGAGGAAAACGCATTTTGTCGAAAATCAGCGATAGGGCGTCAGTTGCCTAGTACATATGTTGCTATTAGAGGTCACTGACAATATTAGGTCAGGTCACAGGTCAGGTCACCAAGGGTCACCACTCACCACATGAACCCAACCTTACTAAGGTTGTGCGATGCATGTTTTATGGCCATTTTTTTCATTTCCAACTCAATGGTGTTGGTTATAAGACCATCAGGTACGGTTTAGGTCACTTTCTGGTGGAGGTCAGGTCAAGGTCAGGTCAAAAAAGGTCAAATTTCAAAGTTGATAGTTTTGCATAAAATGGGTATTGATTCGATGCAGCTCGTCACGAGGAGTCTGATGGTGGTCTTTGTTTTGCGCTACGAGGTCTAGAATGGCAAAAAACGAGTTTGAAAATTTGAAGTCATCAAATTTGAACAGCTTTTTCGCTATAACTTGGCCAAAAAGAGGTATCGATCTAAAATTGTGTATGTGGATAGAAGGCGGTAGGGACTATCACATCTGTTCCGTTTTTTTTTTCGAAATATAGAAAATTTCTTGGATTTTTCGGCTATTATATTCAACAAATCTATTTTTGGGAGGGGGTCAAAATACAAAAATTTTGACTCGGGCTCAAACAGCATAGTAGTTTCGGAAATAGGAGAAGTACTCTGCTGAGCCCGCCAACTTCGCCAACCGAGCCGAGCCGACTTCGCACCGACGGGGAGCGGATACATGCCCCTCCCCCCTCGATGATATCTCGAAAACGAAGCATGCTAGCGACAAGCAGTAAACGGCATGGGATACAGAGCCTAGTTTCTACAATTTTTACTGAGGTCATTTTCATGTCAGGTCAAAACTGACGTTACAGCGGTAAAAAGTCAACATGGCGGCACCACAGAAGAACAGAGTTTTCACGAATAGATTTTAAGTAAAGAAGCTAGGCACCCCGTGATCCTCTTGTCTATCCACATTGAAATGGCTACAAGTTGACCTAAAAGGTTAAGGTCATAGGTTGACTTCCGGCCACGCGAACTCATTTTGAGCTCATCTAGAATCATTTCGATAACTCATTTCGAGAGCGGAGCATTGCTGCACCGCTCTCCCTTATAGGTTCGGAGGTGTGTGGTGAGGTTTGACCATTGAGTGAACCGTGCCGTGAAGAGGGAGCAGCCGTACGGCCGGTGTCCTGTGAGACTCACACAGGTCACCGTCGGCCTGACCTGAAAATTATTTGCGTATTCTTACCTATGTTAGACGCTATACAGATGTGCTCTTAAATCCCTCAACCACTATTTTTACGGCTATTTCAAGTTCACGTCTATGACGCAGAAGCTTGCCGTGCCGTGGGCGCTAGACGCCGAAGGCTGCCGTGAGGTCTAGAAAATCCACCCTGTGGGGTGATCAAGACTTCCTTGCAAAGGCAAAAACTCCTATGTGAGGTCAGAGTCTGACCTCACATAGTAAGGGATATGTCCAATTTTTTTCTCTTCCAGAAGATGTCAAATTTATCTGAGAAAAAGTACTGAGAGTTTCACTTTCCCCTGTAAGTGTTCGGGAGCCATCGCCAATATTTGCCAGAGGGACGTACCCCCCCCCCCCCCCACCCAACCCGCCAAGGGTTACCTAAAAGGACAGGGAAAACGCAGTCCACTGTCGGTAGAAAGGTAAATTCCATTATCAAACTCCTCTCAATAAACACCACAGCCCTCGGAGCTGCTCACAATGAACTCACCTGAGGATGACGGTCCGGCCGGAGAGGAAGTCACAGACTGCCCAGACGTCTCCGAGTGGACGGTCAGCTCCCGGGCCGAGTCGTCTCCGTAGTACACCAGCAGCTCTGACCCTTTCGGGATGGGCTTTGACGTCCTGCATAGGTCGATAAATATCTCATCATAGATGAAAGCATGATATTTCTTCAAGCTTAAAAGCATCCATGAAACCATAAGACAAAACGCGTATAAAATGCGAAACTTACGCGGGACACATTCGTCAATTGTAAGACTACAACGCACCTGAAGTATATCTGACCCCGGTACTGGAAGGCCACTAGGTTTTGTTCTTCCTCCGTGCGGGCACAGTTGACCCTTCTGAGCCAGTTGCTGCAGCTCGGGTCTTCGGCATTCACCGAGTGATGCGCGTGCTCACCCTTCTTGATCTGAAGCAAGACAAAAATAGTATATTAAATCTAGAAATGAAACAAGAAAATCGTTAATGTTATGGGATCATGGTCAATGTGCTGTTTTAGAGTCATATTTTTCCCAGGTTTTATGTTTGTAGATATAAAACTTTATCGGAATTCACTGGGATTGTATTGCGTATGCAAGTCCAAATATTTCGGCCAATATTGTTTGGCCTTGGTCACTGGACAACTACAATAACCCTATAAGTATAGCTCACATTGCAATGTCCGTCAAGACAGCCCATATTCAGCCCAGATTCAGCCCGGATTCAGCCCAGATTCGGGACACCTCCGATCAAGCTGAAACTCGCACACAATGTAGGACATGACATGCCCAATCCACAGTCCAAGTCATTGGGTGACACTCTCAGCCGTTTGACCTACAGAGGTCAGCAAAGGTCACGTGGCCCAAATTTGCACAGCAGATTGTGGCCCACCCAGTAGAGCTAGAGCGCTAAAAATGGCACCAATCGACTCGCCAGCATCTAATCTTACTTTCCCAGCACTCATTTGACCTCTCAAGGTCATGCGATGACCTAAGGTCATTTGTGGGCTATGTCGAAAATACACTTGCAGAGCAGTTTTCGAGTAGAGGGATTGACCGAATTCCAAATCAAAGCACATCATCGGGTAGCCCATAGGCCGTAGTAACTTTCCTAAAAAATCGCTTTTCGATATGTGACCCCGTTTGACCTCGGCAGGTCAAAATGCGCAAATAAACGACACTCCATACGTCGCAGCCCGGATTCAGCCCAGATTCGGGACACCTCCGATCAAGCTGAAACTCGCACACAATGTAGGCCATGACATGCCCAATCCACAGTCCAAGTAATTCGGTGGCACTCCCAGCCGTTTGACCTACAGAGGTCAGCAAAGGTCACGTGGCCCAAATTTGCACAGCAGATTGTGGCCCACCCAGTAGAGTTAGAGCGCCAAAAATGGCACCAATCGACTCGCCAGCATCTAATCTTACTTTCCAAGCACTCATTTGACCTCTCAAGGTCATGCGATGACCTAAGGTCATTTGTGGGCTATGTCGAAAATACACTTGCACAGCAGTTTTCGAGTAGAGGGATTGACCGAATTCCAAATCAAAGCACATCATCCGGTAGCCCATAGGCCGTAGTAACTTTCCTTAAAAACCGCTTTTCGATATGTGACCCCGTTTGACCTCGGCAGGTCAAAATGCGCAAATAAACGACACTCCATACGTCGCAGCCCGGATTCAGCCCAGATTCGGGACACCTTCGATCAAGCTGAAACTCGCACACAATGTAGGCCATGACATGCCCAATTCACAGTCCAAGTCATTCAGTGGCACTCCCAGCCGTTTGACCTACAGAGGTCAGCAAAGGTCACGTGGCCCAAATTTGCACAGCAGATTGTGGCCCACCCAGTAGAGTTAGAGCGCTAAAAATGGCACCAATCGACTCGCCAGCATCTAATCTTATTTTCCCAACACTCATTTGACCTCTCAAGGTCATACGATGACCTAAGGTCGACCTCGGCAGGTCAAAATGCGCAAATAAACGACACTCCATACGTCGCAGCCCGGATTCAGCCCAGATTCGGGACACCTTCGATCAAGCTGAAACTCGCACACAATGTAGGCCATGACATGTTACATGTTAGATGACCTAAGGTCATTTGTGGGCTATGTCGAAAATACACTTGCACAGCAGTTTTCGAGTAGAGGGATTGACCGAATTCCAAATCAAAGCACATCATCGGGTAGCCCATAGGCCGTAGTAACTTTCCTTAAAAACCGCTTTTCGATATGTGACCCCGTTTAACCTCGGCAGGTCAAAATGCGCAAATAAACGACACTCCATACGTCGCAGCCCGGATTCAGCCCAGATTCGGGACACCTCCGATCAAGCTGAAACTCGCACACAATGTAGGCCATGACATGCCCAATCCACAGTCTAAGTCATTTGGTGGCACTCCCAGCCGTTTGACCTACAGAGGTCAGCAAAGGTCACGTGGCCCAAATTTGCACAGCAGATTGTGGCCCACCCAGTAGAGTTAGAGCGCTAAAAATGGCACCAATCGACTCGCCAGCATCTAATCTTACTTTCCCAACACTCATTTGACCTCTCAAGGTCATGCGATGACCTAAGGTCATTTGTGGGCTATGTCGAAAATACACTTGCACAGCAGTTTTCGAGTAGAGGGATTGACCGAATTCCAAATCAAAGCACATCATCGGGTAGCCCATAGGCCGTAGTAACTTTCCTTAAAAACCGCTTTTCGATATGTGGCCCCGTTTGACCTCGGCAGGTCAAAATGCGCAAATAAACGACACTCCATACGTCGCAGCCCGGATTCAGCCCAGATTCGGGACACCTCCGATCAAGCTGAAACTCGCACACAATGTAGGCGATGACGTGCCCAATCCACAGTCCAAGTCATTCGACGGCACTCTCAGCCGTTTGACCTAGAGAGGTCAGCAAAGGTCACGTGGCCTAAATTTGCACAGCAGATTGTGGCCCACCCAGTAGAGCTAGATCGCTAAAAATGGCACCAATCGACTCGCCAGCATCTAATACTTTTTTCCCAACACTCATTTGACCTCTCAAGGTCATGCGATGACCTAAGGTCATTTGTGGGCTATGTCGAAAATACACTTGCACAGCAGTTTTCGAGTAGAGGAATTGACCGACTTCCAAATCAAAGCACATCATCGGGTAGCCCATAGGCCGTAGTAACTTTCCTTAAAAGCTGCTTTTCGATATGTGACCCCGTTTGACCTCGGCAGGTCAAAATGTGCAAATTAACGACACTCCATACGTCGCAGCCCGAGTGTCTTTTATTTGCACATTTTGACCTACCGAGGTCAAACGGGGTCACATATCGAAAAGCGGTTTTTAACCTTCCAGGCGGTGGGGGGGCATTTTTTTGCCCCCCCCCCCCTTTAGTTTTTTCGATATATCTCGAGAACCGCTGCGCCGATCGTCACCAAACTTTCAGTACCCTCCCGGGAGCAGCTAGCGCACATAGTGACCAAAAATTTTCCAAAGGCTATGATAGGTTGGCCGCTATTGACGTCAGAGTGACGTCATTTTTGCCATTTTCGACCCAAAAAAAGGTTTCGCGGGAAGAGCTGTCAGGCCTACAGCTTTAGAGATACAGAAAAATGTTTCAGACATAAAAGGTGTGGAATTAAGAGGGCTACAAAACTGCTATTTCGGTTTTTCGATTTTTTTTGGATTTTGACCCCCAAAAATCAAAAAATAGATTTTTCGAATATACTAGCCTAAAAATCCAAAAAGTTTTTTGAATTTCGAAAAAACCGGAATATATGTGATATCCCCTACCGCCTTCTATCTACATACCAAATTTGAGATCGATACCTCTTTTTTTGGCCAAGTTATAGCGAAAAAACTGTTCAAAATTGATGACGTCAAATTTTCAAACTCAATTTTTAGCAATTCTAGACCTCGTAGCGCAAAACAAAGACCACCATTAGACTCCCCGTGACGAGCTGCATCGAATCGATACCGATTTTATGCAAAAATATCAACTTTGAAATTTCACCTTTTTTGACCTGACCTTGACCTCACCTCCACCAGAAAGTGACCTAAACCGTACCTGATGGTCTTATAACCAACACCATTGAGTTGGAAATGAAAAACTGGCCATAAAACATGCATCGCATAACCTTAGTAAAGTTGGGCTCATGTGGTGACCCTTGGTGACCTTTGGTGACCTGACCTGTGACCTGACCTGGTATGACCAGTGACCTCTAATAGCAACATATGTACTAGACAACTGACGCCTTATCGCTGATTTTCGACAAAATGCGTTTTACTCGGTGTTATAGCGCTTTCCCTAGAAGCCCCGTGAACGGTGAAACATTTTATCTTTGACCTGACCTGTGACGTCATCGGTGACCCCGAGGTCAATGAAATTCGGTTTCCCTCAACAAATTTGACAGGGCTATCGAACGCCGTTTGAATTTTCCGGATCCGTCCAGTAGTTTCGGAGATACGGGGGGGGGGCAAAAAAGTGCCCCCCCCCCCACCGCGCGGAAGGTGGCTGGTAGGCCCACCGCCTGCCGGGTTAAGGAAAGTTACTACGGCCTATGGGCTACCCGATGATGTGCTTTGATTTGGAATTCGGTCAATCCCTCTACTCGAAAACTGCTGTGCAAGTGTATTTTCGACATAGCCCACAAATGACCTTAGGTCATCGCATGACCTTGAGAGGTCAAATGAGTGTTGGGAAAGTAAGATTAGATGCTGGCGAGTCGATTGGTGCCATTTTTGGCGCTCTAGCTCTACTGGGTGGGCCACAATCTGCTGTGCAAATTTGGGCCACGTGACCTTTGCTGACCTCTGTAGGTCAAACGGCTAGGAGTGCCACCGAATTACTAGGACTGTGGATTAGACATGTCATGGCCTACATTGTGTGCGAGTTTCAGCTTGATCGGAGGTGTCCCGAATCTGGGCTGAATCCGGGCTGCGACGTATTGAGTGTCGTTTATTTGCACATTTTGACCTACCAAGGTCAAACGGGGTCACATATCGAAAAGCGGTTTTTAGGGAAAGTTACTACGGCCTATGGGCTACCCGATGATGTGCTTTGATTTGGAATTCGGTCAATCCCTCTACTCGAAAACTGCTGTGCAAGTGTATTTTCGACATAGCCCACAAATGACCTTAGGTCATCGCATGACCTTGAGAGGTCAAATGAGTTTTGGGAAAGTAAGATTAGATGCTGGCGAGTCGATTGGTGCCATTTTTGGCGCTCTAGCTCTATTGGGTGGGCCACAATCTGCTGTGCAAATTTGGGCCACGTGACATTTGCTGACCTCTGTAGGTCAAACGGCTAGGAGTGCCAGCGAATGACTTGGACGGTGGATTGGACATGTCATGGCCTACATTGTGTGCGAGTTGCAGCTTGATCGGAGGTGTCCCGAATCTGGGCTGAATCCGGGCTGCGACGTATTGAGTGTCGTTTATTTGCACATTTTGACCTACCGAGGTCAAACGGGGTCACATATCGAAAAGCGGTTTTTAAGGAAAGTTACTACGGCCTATGAGCTACCCGATGATGTGCTTTGAATTGGAATTCGCTCAATCCCTCTACTCGAAAACTGCTGTGCAAGTGTATTTTCGACATAGCCCACAAATGTCCTTAGGTCATCGCATGACCTTGAGAGGTCAAATGAGTGTTGGGAAAGTAAGATTAGATGCTGACAAGTCGATTGGTGCCATTTTTAGTGCTCTAGCTCTACTGGGTGGGCCACAATCTGCTGTGCAAATTTGGGCCACGTGACCTTTGCTGACCTCTGTAGGTCAAACGGCTGGGAGTGCCACCGAATGACTTGGACTGTGGATTGTGCATGTCATAACCTACATTGTGTGCGAGTTTCAGCTTGATCGGAGGTGTCCAGAATCTGGGCTGAATCCGGGCTGCGACGTATTGAGTGTCGTTTATTTGCACATTTTGACCTACCGATGTCAAACGGGGTCATATATCGAAAAGCGGTTTTTAAGTAAAGTTACTACGGCCAATGGGCTACCCGATGATGTGCTTTGATTTGGAATTCGGTCAATCCCTCTACTCGAAAACTGCTGTGCAAGTGTATTTTCGACATAGCCCACAAATGACCTTAGGTCATCGCATGACCTTGAGAGGTCAAATGAGTGTTGGGAAAGTAAGATTAGATGCTGACGAGTCGATTGGTGCCATTTTTAGCGCTCTAGCTCTACTGGGTGGGCCACAATCTGCTGTGCAAATTTGGGCCACGTGACCTTTGCTGACCTCTGTAGGTCAAACGGCTGGGAGTGCCACCGAATGACTTGGACTGTGGATTGGGCATGTCATGGCCTACATTGTGTGCGAGTTTCAGCTTGTTCGGAGGTGTCCCGAATCTAGGCTGAATCCGGGCTGAATCTGGGCTGAATATGGGCTATCTTGACGGACATCACATTGCAGCGATACCCAAAATTCTAAATTAGAATCACAGACAAAAATTCAAATCCCTGCGCGCTATCAACCATGTAGGAGACTCCAAGTTAAGAAAATCTAGATACACTCACTATTTCCTATCAAAGTATGCTGTAAATTTAACTATAAAATACATACAAACACACAGACAAGATGTTATACACAGAACACATTCGGCGTCATTAGTTTTTAATTCAGTCCACTCATACTACAGTGATGAGAGGAACGAATATCATCTTGCGTTTTTTAGAGGCAAATCCCAAATTGGGCTCAGTGCGAATTTTCCAACATCTCTGTTCATATCTGGATCCTTCTCTTTTATTTCGATGGCCTCGCGCACTGTCCTCTTCCTCCAATCACTGACATAGGCTACTGTTCTTGCCTCCAAAGGGCGCATCTGACCAGAACACTCACTTGCGTGTCGTGCCGGTGCCGATTTCAATCTGCGTCCGTGTTGGATGTCTTTGGCGTGTTCATTCACTGTAGTATGAGTGGACTGAATTAAAAACTAATGACGCCGAATGTGTTCTGTGTATAACATCTTGTCTGTGTGTTTGTATGTATTTTATAGTTAAATTTACAGCATACTTTGATAGGAAATAGTGAGTGTATCTAGATTTTCTTAACTTGGAGTCTCCTACATGGTTGATAGCGCGCAGGGATTTGAATTTTTGTCTGTGATTCTAATTTAGAATTTTGGGTATCGCTGCAATGTGAGCTATACTTATAGGGTTATTGTAGTTGTCCAGTGACGGACCAAGGCCAAACAATATTGGCCGAAATATTTGGACTTGCATACGCAGTACAATCCCAGTGAATTCCGATAAAGTTTTATATCTACAATCATGGTCAACTTTCTGTCTCTCTGTCATTGTTGTGAAATGATTTTAAATATTTCTTAATCGTCTCAATAACTCCATAGTAATAGAATCGAAAAGTGCCAGTGTGAAAGTAATGGAACCAAAGTTAAAGTATGATACAAAATATGAACCAGCAAGATGTTAGGTATTGCAAATAAGGATTAATGATATTTGGCAGATAAATGACAAAACCGACCTGCCATCTGTACCCGGTGGTTCGAGCCTGACCCTGCTCGGTGGTCAAGATGCCCTCGTAAGGACCAAGTCTTTGGCGCGCAGGAAGATCATTCTCCGCAAAAACTCCTGAAATCGAATAAAGAATGTCGTGGAATCGAACATACGCACGTCTTCACTTTATCTCAATGGACACACAAGGCACTGATAATCCATGGGACATTAACCACGGGTTCGATGTCTCTCGGACGGCGAAGATCCTACGCCGTCCGGCCAATCACGTTCCAGAACTGCAGCCGAGCCCCCGCTGACCTTGGACGGGATTGGCCGGACGACGTAGAATCTTCGTCGTCCGAGAGACATCGAATGCGAGGTAAATTGAGCAATACAAGCACCATCACCAAATGTTTGCAGCAAAATCCAGCAGCGGTTGTTACGCACCACCGTTTGTTTTGCCTTATCAACTTACCGGTGCCAGATGCTGGATTTCTCGACTGACCAGAGCTGAGAGACGACGGCAGAGTCTTGAGGTCCCTTTCGGCACCTCCGATACCGGGTCGTGCCTGGAATATTCAGCGTATATACAGCAAAATGTCGACCAAAGATGATATAATTAAGAAGGTACGAAGACCGTTAGCTTGGTTGGAAATTAGCCAGGGATGTTTTGTGAATATAGATCATAGAACCGCTGTAGACCTGGTCGCACCCATGACAGTACTGACAAACCTGCAGCAAATGCAATAACTGTAAAGAGAAAGAGGATAACAAAAATATCAAAGAAAACGATCATTTTATAGATGCACGTACTGTCATTCTCTGATTTATGCATAACACCACATCAATCGCATTCAATGTTGAAATGTGGGACGCAACCATCGGAGTAATAAAGAATACGAACTGAAGGATGATGTGTGGAAGACACAAAACCAACGCGTTTCTTACCTTGGTATCGGGTATGATCTTCAGCGGTCCATGGACAGGACATTCTCCGTCCCTATCGCGGCAGCACAAGTCACAAACTGCCGAAAAGAAGGGCAAAAGGGTATTTACGGCTCGATGGACAGTAGAGTTTGTAAGATTTCATTTTTTACGTTTCTGCTTGACCAAAACAGTACGTCTACTATTGTTTTTATTTGTCTGCAATTTTGAGGTCCTATGGTGTTGGTACATTCGTCTTTAAATGAGGAAAGGTTCGCTAGTTTACTAAAAGGAGGGAAAAAACTCACATATGTTACCATCATCGAGACCATCCACGTCCCGGTAGTTAATGACGAGACGTTGACTCTTGATGAGCCCTCCCTCAGCAAAGACTGTAATAAAATACCATGATTAGTCATGAACGATTGGATAGTATTTATCACAGGGCCAATTCAATAGAATGCATGACAGTTAGACCATTATATCACTTTTGCAGAGTCCCAATCCAATGATATAAAAACTGAAATTTCCTCTGCAGGGTACAAAAATAAGACTCATGAATCATGATCTAACGGTAGAACCCTTTCCGTATTACTGATTTAATCAATTTACCTTCAATGGAGTCTTGACTGTCCGACGGAACGACCGGTAACAGATTCCTTTTCACATTGGAGATGAACCAAGCACTGAAAAAGCAACAATTATGAGAATTCATCACAAGCACACAGTGTCTACAATGACACATAACTACTAAAAATTTCAACAAGGCACTGGATCAGCCCTTACCTGTCCCGGTCCACCTCAGTGAAACCCATAAAGTCTTCAGACGGTGAAGGCGACCGACACAGGAACTCTTCCTCCTTCACCAGAGACTGCAGAGCGCGGTCCGATAAAGGATCCTCGTCTGACACCGAGGGAGACGACGGACGCTCAACCTAGACCGGACCCGAAAAAACAGCATTGTTAAAGAAAACATGTAACCTTATGTACCACTGATTAGACTATTCGAACACATTTTACTTTTGCATTATGTATATCAACCTGACAGTAAAAGATGTCAAATATGGATGCGCACTTTCAATTTGTACACTTACCCTTGGTGAAGTGACTTCAATCTTTATCTCCTCCTTCACAGCCGGCTCAGGGATGCCCTCGGAGCCACTGTCTATGGGAGTGGAGTTCCTCTGCCTCTGAGACCGCCTTACACACTCTGACGGACCCCATTCCTCGTTGCCGTCAGCAGAGCCCTCCCGAGACCACTTTGATTCTACCGGTGTCATTGACGCAGTCCGCATGGACGGCAGTGGCTCAGACACTGGTGGGATGAGGTTCAATGTCCTTCGTCAGTTCACGCCCATCGTGACAATACCGATTCACAATGAGTAGGTAGGAAACAAGAAGTGACAAAGTTATTTAGTTCTCATCACAAATAATTGAGTAATTTCCAATAGTGTCCAATATCCATGACACTGTCATCAGTTCCAATGATATGATTTCAACAAGAAGGTACCAATTATCAAAGAGCTAGGTACTCACATAGTTTTGAAAGCTACCTACTAGTTTTGAGCACACTAACATACTTAAGTTATTATTTCAACTGATAAAACATAGATCAATATGACCCTTTTTTCCTATGCCAGTCCTTTAAAAGTAAAAACATACCCAATTGAATAAAAAAGTTAAATTGCTTATGTATGGTCATCCCCCAGACCAAAATATTAAATTGACAGAATCCTTCATGCCTGTACTTCAATCCCATAATTTCCCCAATTTAAAGGGACCCTCCCACCTTCAAAAAAGTTGATGAATTGGCATGAAAGTGATGTCGCTTGGTTCAGAAAGAGCGAAAACGAATATCTACCAAATTTCACCGAAAAATAATCACCGGTTTTCAAGATATTAGACTTTTACTTTTGTTTACTTTTTGGGATCTCCGCTGTTCCTAGCGACTTTATTTGGAAGCAATAGTTTGGCAGCTGAAAGTGTGGCACTTATTGCGTGCAAAGCAGCATATACCACCGCGTGCTACAAAAAGTTTTAGTCAAACATTTAAAAATTGTTAGATATCTGCGCTGACGTCACACATTCAGAGGGGTATACCTATGCGCTAGCCACTCTGAATCAAAATGCTGCAATTTTGAAATTCAATATTTCCGATTTAAGGCATTTCTCGATGTTGTGAGTGCCGAAACCGGTAATTGTGAGCCAGGGACCCCATTTTGGCTATCTCAACTCAAATCTAATGTTAAAGGTGGGAGGGTCCCTTTAACTACACAGAAGCTGTAAACTTGCACAGTCCAGAGCCCTGATCGGCGGCCGGCTAGTACTCTTGCCCGCGCTCACATACGTGCACGTTACCCCGACAACGGGCTATTGACCAATGAGAAGCGAGAAAAGTGTTACGTCACTGCGATTTTTCATATACCTGTGCCCCCCGGATGTGACGTAGTGTGCTCGCGCGCGTGCAGGGTCTCTGCGATCGAAAAAGAGCGCTAGCAGCGCGCCACTTGACGCCGCAATTGTCAAAAGCGGCGTGTTAGTATGCTTTATTATGAATGATGTGTGTAAAAGTGAGTTTTTATGTTGTTTATTTGGAGGAAATGGTTGGAATAAATTAAGTTATTTTTATTTCTGTTAGTTGGAGTTTTTATTCAAAAGATTTCGGTGTATACCATTGATATTTACTGAAAATACCTTCGCTTGAATAAATTGCAGATATTTGGCAACTGAAGTGTTAGGTAAGCCTAAATGATATGTAAAAAGGTAAGAGACACCCTGATTATCATTTGAGAAACGAAAATATATGAATTTTCCTTATAATGACTCGCTCAATATGCTGCTCCGCGGTTTATGCCCCGAGGGTGTCCGAGGGTTCCCGTTAGTTTGACGTTGGCGCTCGGCTCGCGCGCGAGCCGACGTCACCGCCTGTGACGTCGGCTCGCGAAATACGTCATACCCTGCACACAAAATAGCCGGCTGCCGAACAGCGCTCAGTAAAAGTGCTAGATGCATACTCTGCATAGCCATTGTTCTGAAGAATTTAAAACAAACAATAGCAGCAGCACAATGGTGATTGAAGGGGACTGTTTGTTCAGAAGACAGCCACAGCAGTGAGACCAACTCTGTTCCACTAAATTAGTTCCATTACAAACTACAAACTTTCATTACACTTAAGTTTGTAATGCGGTATAAGTAACCCTGGTGTCCCAGGAAGATGCCAGATACCATTGTAGGTTGTAGGTTTTCTAGGTTTGAAGGGTACGTTGTAGGTTTGTAGGTCGTAGGTAAAGTTAGGTCAGGTTCGGTTCGTTTTGGTCTATATATCTCTGTCGTCCCAATCTGGCATCTTGCTGGGACGCCAGGCTTACTAATATCTGTAATGCTTGTCTGCAGATATAACAACTCACCAAGCTGATCCATCTTGAGAAATCAAGACCACTCCAACTCCAATCCCTTTTCAGCATCGGTTCCCAGTCTATTCTGTCTATCTCAATCTCTTGCCCAAGGCCGCTCTTGCCACAGTTGAACGGTAAAAAGCTGCAAAGGCCTCTAATAAATATTACAAGCCAATGAAACACACAATAAAAGAATAATATCCCAATTCACCCAATATCAATGAAATGACAATCGAAACGCCACACCATTAATGAGTTCAGCTGACACGCGGTAATGCAGCAAAATGGCGTCATAAATGTCGATTTTCAGATGACAAGGCTGCGTTCGGACATGGTAGAAATAAAGACGTTCGGAGTTCGGACACTACTGCTGTCAATTTAGCAGCAGTTTGCTTTCAATCTGTAGATTGATATTCTGGGGTCAGCCGATTGGGCCCAAATTCGGCCGAGGGACCAAGTCTGACATGCTGAGCACGAATCCGGTCTCAGAAGTCTGGTATACTCAACAGATCTCCCAGATTCAGCCTGGATCGCTCCAGATGGATATTCTCCGGGGTCTCTCGATTTCGCCCAAAATTACCCCAGAGACGAAGTCTGACATGCTGAGCATCAGGGGTGCGGAGCCGGAGCCGGAGCTAGAGCCGGAGCCGCCGGGCCCAAGCCGGCATATTTTGCCCGGAGCCGGAGCCGTGAAACAACATAGCCCGGAGCCGAAGCCGGAGCCGGAGCCGTCAAAAAAGGGGGCGACTCCGGCTCTTTTTTTAGAGGAAAAAATATTGACCTAGTTGGGTTTGACAGTGCAAGGCAGTAAAATATGTGGTTATCAAAATAGCCTTGTTGTGCAAATACAGAAGCAACGTGCACCTTGCGTGCACCAGTCCAATCGCCTTTTTTCTTTCACCCGTATTTAATTAATCACACAGGGGATGTACTGAGTAGGAACCGGAGCCGGAGCCGCCGGAGCCGGACCATTTTACTCGGAGCCGGAGCCGGAGCCGCCATGACATTTCACCCGGAGCCGGAGCCGGAGCCGATTTTTTTTCCGGAGACCCCTCGTTTTTTTTGTAAGATCTGTTGGCTGTTTTATAAGACCCCTCGGCGGCACATGGTCTGCCGTATAGACAAGACAAGAAGCATCGACTCCCCGATGTAGGAGCACATACGGTTCGCAAGTCGTACTCGTACGTAACAGACGCCACGCTGGTAAGGATTGGGTTGCAAGATTTACATATCACGACAAGCTACTTTCCGTCTACCCCTTGTAGACAAAGACTGCGCAGATCATAGGAAATGCTGCGAATGCGGTGTGAGTTGCGGCCACAAAAAGAGACGTTATTTCTTAACGTACCCAGCTATTCTTCGCAAATTATAGCGTTACGGCACTATGCCAAACAGCAACACTCCTTACCTCCTATGTGTAGGGGCCAGTTTTAACACAATTACTGATTCACCCTGTGTAAACACAAAGAGACCAGACGTGACACGGGCAGCCACCAAGCTGACTGACGACAATTACAGCTAAAACACAACAGCAGCCGGTCATGCACTTGTCGACACGTCTCAGCTTTCCATCCCGCCGTTCAAACCATTTAACACACCGGTCATACGTGTGGGCCGTCCTTCGTGTGGGCCTGCATATGCGTCGTCAGGTTTGACTGTTGAACGAAACGTGCCGTGCAGACAGAGCACCGGTAAAGCCGCTCCCCAGTGTGGGTTTGCATGTGTCTGGTAAGATCTGTCCGTTTAGCGAACAGTGCCGTGCAGACAGAGCACCGATAAAGCCGCTCCCCAGTGTGGGTACGCATGTGTGTGTTGAGGCGTAACCGTCTAGTGAACCGTGCTGTGCAGATAGAGCAGCCGTACGGCCGCTCCCCAGTGTGCATACGCATGTGTATGTTCAGATGTGACCTTCGAGTGAATCGTGCCATGCAGACGGAGCAGCCGTACGGCCGCTCCCCAGTGTGGGTCCTCAATTTAGAGTTGCAAAATTTCCCTACCGCACTACCGGCATGCCGGTAATTTTTCACTACCGCAGGTTTATTCGTGGTAGGGGAAGCGGGGGAGCACCGCCACCTTAAGCATTTCTGCTCACCGAGCTGATATGCGTAGTAAAAACGAAGCTCTTTTGCATTCATGTGAAAGTAGGGATGTTTTCCTACATGTTGGCAAAGTTTCCAGCGCTCCATTATAAAATTTCGCTACTTTACAGACGTCGAAAACAAGCCCTGCATTTTTCGTCCTCTAAAAATGTGCGGGTAGCACCGCCACCGATGGTGGTGTTATCCACAGATCGGCCTTACGGTGACAGCCGCCCTTGGTAGCGTTACTGCTGTCTGAAATAGTAACTCATACTCATATAAGACACACAAGAGTTGGTTGTTAGTTTGTCACAGATCAGACTGTTTGGTGCGGACAATATGCATACAAAGCCTGTCAAATTCACGTTTATTTCGAAACATCCAGTGAAGTCGAACGTGAGGTTAAAAAACAGACGACGTTTGCGGCCTAACTAAAGCTCTTCTCCGAGCTGAGTGAGTCATCATTGCGGCTTTATCCATTTTGCCACCCCTTGGGGTAGCACCGCCGAGCATGGCGGTGTTACCCCACACACAGTCATGGACCGACAACGCCCCGACGGGAAAACAAGCCGGGACGCGATTCTTCTGTAATTCCTTTCTCAACGAAGAGCACTTCATGCCTTCAAATTTAGCGTAAAAATCGAGGTATTTTGACTTGAAATGACCACTTACTTGGTGCTAAAACATGCCAAATGGTTACAACGATGGTTAGTAATTCACAAAATGGGCAATTGCGATCTTAAAATCAAATAAATCTTAGCGAAACCTACCTCACGTGGCGCCCCGCTTCCGTTTGGACACCGAAATGGCAGGTGTTTACATTTACAATTCAGAGTTTTGCCGATAGAGGGGATGGCGGTGTTGCCCACATGGCGGTGCTACCCCCGCTTCCCCTATCTGGCATGTCTTGCCGGTAGCATGCCGGTATTTTTGATTTTGTGCAAAAAAATATCAGCAAATGATTCAAACTTCGGACACTAAGAGGCTCTCAAATTGTAGTAACAGCAATATTAGCCACTGCAAGATACATTTTGTGGTAGAAGTTCCATTGCTAAGTGTAGGGGTAACACATGGACCTCAGCATTTCACACAATTCACAGGCTTAGTTATAATTAGAATTGTCAAGAATCTACTGTGGTCTATAAAAGGAAGAATATTCATAAAAGGAAGAATGTTGTTCATGACAACATTCCCTAGGGGAAAAGGCAGAATCACAACACCAAAAAAAACACAATGTTTGGAAACTGGCCTTGAGTCCTGAGATCCTGAGATGTGGTCTGAGAAACTCTACAAAGAATTTGACACTGAAAATCCAGCTGAAAAGGCAGGTGTTAGGTAGCCCTGAGCCTGACTTTGGTCCCATAATTAAATGAAAATGGATTTGAACTGGCATTTTGTCTTATCTTTACAAGAAAACACATCATGCAGGCAAAATTGACACAAAGTGGCGCAAACAATTAGACAACCAAGGTTTTACTTTTAAGATTATCTCTCCCCTAATGAATGGTTGTAATCTGATGACGTAATATTTATTCATTTACCCTTTTGGTTGAATAGCTGAAGAGAAAAAAATTTATTTGTAGTGAATTACACTACAATGTCGATTTCATTATAATTTAATATTGTGTTGGATAATTTTTATTAATATAATCATTCACGAGGCAGTGGCCTGCAGTCGTTAAACATTTTTTTTGCAGCGTTTTAATCAGCTGGTGAAAAGCCTCTGTTATGGCGCATCTGTTTCGAAATCGATAACCTTGTGTTTGTTCCCGCTTGAGGTTGGAGAGGATGGAAGATATCGTTTTTATACATATTATTAGGTGACTATTCTCAGGACCAGTGAGTTATTAACACATTTTTTACATGATTCGTATCTTATTCACGAACCAGCACGCAATAGTGGATAGGAAAAAGTATATGTTGATCTCGCTTCCTCAGTTAGGAAGATGGCCGAATCTGTACTTGTTTACCTATGTTTTGACCATCTAGATTTTAAACATTTGGCTGGTGCCGGCAACATTTTAGGAGAATATGGAAAAGTAGAACACCTGTGAAATGTAAATGTGATTACTGCTCACTGTCCAGTCTTCAAAAACACATTTCAGTAATTCAAGTCCTTTTTGTCCTCACCTTTTTGATGAATGCAATAGTTTTTTGTAGGCAATACTTCTTTGATTACAGGTGATATTTTAACAGTTATAGACTGGAATTGAGTTTCAAAATTGTGGGTATTTGTGGGGCCAACTCAGCCAAAATCAGCCTGCTGGTATTTGTGGTTGGACAATGGATGGCTGTTGGGTGGGAGGGGTACTGAAACTGCCAAAATGTGGCACTCTTGCAGGGGTAAGCTAGAATCAAGAATGCAGGTTTTTTAGTATGCCGGTAACCAGTTTTAACACAATTACTGATTCACCGTGTGTAAGCACAAAGAGACCACACGTGACACGGGCAGCCACCAAGCTGACTAACGACAATTACAGCTAAACACAACAGCAGCCGGTCATGCACTTGTCGACACGTTTCAGCTTTCCATCCCGCCATTCAAACCATTTAACACACCGGTCATCCCGCCATTCAAACCATTTAACACACCGGTCATAGTTACGTGTGGGCCGTCCTTCGTGTGGGTCTGCATATGCGTCGTCAGGTTTGACTATTGAACGAAACGTGCCGTGCAGACAGAGCACTGGAAAAGCCGCTCCCTAGTGTGGGTACGCAGGTGTGTGGTGAGATCTGATATGCGACTAAACCGTGCCGGGCAGATAGAGCAGCCGTGCTGCCGCTCCCCAGTGTGGGTTTGCATGTGTCTGGTGAGATCTGACCGTTTAGCGAATCGTGCCGTGCAGACGGAGCAGCCGTACGGCCGCTCCCCAGTGTGGGTCCTCATGTGTGTAGTGAGGTTTGCCCGTTCAGCGAATCGGGCATGGCAGTGTGAGCAGCCGTACGGCCGCTCCCCCGTATGAGTCCGTATGTGTCTGGTGAGGCTTGTCCGTTTAGAGAATTGTGCCGTGCAGACGGAGCAGCCGTACGGCCGCTCTCCCGTGTGGGTCCTCATGTGTGTAGTGAGGTTTGACCGTTCAGCAAATCGGGCATGGCTGTGTGAACAACCGTACGGCCGCTCTCCCGTATGAGTCCGTATGTGTCTGGTGAGGCTTGTCCGTTCAGCGAACCATGCCGTGCAGATGGAGCAGCCATATGGCAGCTCCCCAGTGTGGGTTTGCATGTGTTTGGTGAGGCTTGATCGAAGAGCGAACCGTGCCGTGCAGATAGAACAGCCGTATGGCCGCTCCCCAGTGTGGGTCCGCATGTAAGTGCTGAGGTTTGACTGTTCAGTAAACCGCGCTGTGCAGATATCACAGCGGTGCGGCCGCTCTCCAGTGTGGGTAAGCATGTGTCTCGTGAGCGTTGACCGTCGAGTGAACCGTGCCGTGCAGACGGAGCAGCGATGTGGCCGCTCCCCCGTGTGGGTCCTACGGTGGTATTTTATATGGGAGGAGTGGTCGGTCGAGTACTGACACCACTTGCACTTGAATCTGCCGTTCCTGCCGATGTGACCGTGACATCTCTTCACGTGTCTATCCAGACGTTGCTGTTCCAGACATCTGAAGTCGCAGTGGGGACATTGGACCGAGCCACTGATGCCTGGAGAATACACAGACAGGAAGAACGGCCATTAGAAAAGAGCAATGACAAAGCAAGTTTCGCGCACACACAAGAACGATCATGACACCTAGAGATGATCCACGCAGCTGGTCGCGTTTCTAGGTGACCTTGGTGAGCGCGGTAGGTGGTCATGTGGACGTGACAAGCGATCAGAGCCCATGAGTTGATCCGTTCATCGCTCGAAATACAGCCGTCAGCAACGGAACACTGAGCTCGTGGGGAATTGTTCTATTGCCGTTTGTTAACTCGCGAACGAACAGGGGTCGAAGTCAACTTATCCACTGAGTATATTTATCAGTGACGTTAAAGAAAAAAAAAACTGAAGTGTGGCAGACATCACCCATCCTCAGGAATATTGAGTCTAAAATGGGAATGTCCACCAAAAGGTTCCTTCTTATTTCCATTTAAACAGGGGAAATAGAAATGCCTATAGGTACAGCGAGCGATGACCTGTGCGAAACCTGATGTAAAAGTTCAAAATAGATTAAAATGATGACACTCATGCACCTGTCAAGTGTATTTTAATTAGGAACCCGACCGCTCCACCTGTCACCGGTGCCACGCTCGATCTGATGGCACAGCGGCGGGGTGTGCTGCGCAGCGAGGGGAAAACGCCGGCCTTTCGCGACCTTGACAGACGGGTCAGGTCAGCGATTAGGCGTGACTGCCGTGCAGGTATCGCGGAGAGCCTGCGAGCTCAAGGGAGCAGCTCCCTGTACCGTAGTATCCGCCCTGTCCTGGCCGGTAAGAGGGACGGCGCGCGCAGCCTCCCCACCGCTACACCCGACGAGATGAATGCACATTTTGTCGATGTTGGACCGCGTGTCGCCGCTAGCCTGGCCGGCCTCGGGCCGCCGCCCGACATCCCGTGTCGCCTACCACGTGTCGGTGCGTGCGGGTTTCGGGTGGCCGGCACGACGCTGGCCGGCCTGCGGGAGGAAATGTTCTCCATGAAGCGTTCTGGTGCGTGCGGGTCTGATGGCATCTGTATTCGTATCCTCATCCTATGTTTCGACGCCATCGCTCCTGTCCTACTCCACATCATCAATACCTGTCTTACCTCATGTGATTTTCCCGAGACCTGGAAACACTCTCTGGTGTATCCTATTTTCAAATCCGGCGATCCCTCTATTATTTCCAACTACCGCCCCATTTCCTTAGTCCCCACCATGGCCAAGATTGTGGAGCGTGTGGTGCAGCGTCAGCTGTTTACTTACATGTCTCACAATCATCTCCTATCCTCATCCCAACATGGCTTCCGTCCTCAACATTCCACAGAAACCGCTCTGCTGTCCGTCACAAACCGCATCTTTTCAAACATGGACCGAGGTCACGTCTCCCTTTTGTGCCTTTTAGACCTCAGTAAATGTTTTGACGTGATTCCTCATTCCCAACTCCTAACCAAGCTCCAGCTCTACAACATCGATCCTTCTTGGTTCTCCGCATACCTTTCCGGTCATACTCAGTCAGTCTCCATTTGTACTTCTTCCGGCAGCAGAGTGGCTTCTAAACCTCTTCCTAACACCATGGGAGTTTTCCAGGGCTCTGTCCTTGGTCCTCTGTTGTTCACAATATTCGCCAACGACCTCAGCCTGCACGCGCCGGACGCCCATGTGATCCAGTACGCTGACGATACCCAAATCCTTATGTCCGACTTGAAACAAAACATCCCACTCCTCATCCAGCGCATGGAAAACACCCTGGCCTCCCTTTCATCGTGGTTCCATGCACACGGCCTTAAGCTCAACACCTCCAAAACCGAACTCCTTCTCCTTGGAACCAAGCAAAACACCCGCAACCTCGCCCCTGTCAGCGTACGGATCGGTGGGGAGACCGTTCGGGAGAGTCACACAGTGAGGAACCTGGGTGTGATTTTTGACCGGCACCTCACCTGGGATGCACATGTGAGTGACATCATTCGCAGGTGCACTGGCCTCCTGATCGGTCTCCGTCACCTGAGGCATTTCCTCCCGCAGCCGTCACTTCTAGCTGTTGTTCAGGGGCTGATCATCTCGCGCCTCAGGTACTGCGTGGCTGTGTACGGCAACGGGTCGGCCGCGAACGATACGAGACTTTTAAAAGTTCTTAACTTCGCGACTCGTGTCGTCACCGGTTTGAGAAAGTATGACCACATTTCTCGCGCCCGTAATGACCTGCAGCTGCTCTCGCCGCGACAGATGTTTGAGCTGAGGACGTTGACAACAGCCTACAATGTGCGTGCCAGTGGTGAGCCTGCCGAACTCGCCTCTCTGTTCACGACCTTTTCTGAACCACGAACCTGTGAGCGTGTGACACGATCGGATTCACGCCTACGACCCCCTGCCACGCGCACAGTGACCGGCCAACGCTCGTTTGGTTACCGAGCAGTGTCGCTGCTAAACCGGTTGCCGGTGGGGGCCATGGAGCTAGACTCGCGGGGCTTCAAGCGCGCTGCTAAGGCACTTGTTCTGTCGTAGCTTTTATGTGTGCATGTGAGCGTGCAGGTATGACTGTGATGCTATCTGTGATTTTTTGACAAGTTTCCCACCAATGTTTTAACTTTGTAACAACTGACACAGAATAGCCACGTCTGCACTGTGGAGTGTCTGCGGAAGTCGTAAATAAATAAATAAATAAATAAATAAATGATCAGAGTCATTTATTCGCAGATGGCAAAATTGGTGATTGTACAAAATAGATCAACACCAAAATACTAAAGCACACATAGTAGCTATATTTGAACAAAACTGGGTTCTCAGTACATTCTTCTCGAACAATCAGTTTTATAAGACCCCTCGGCGGCACATGGTCTGCCGTATAGACAAGACAAGAAGCATCGACTCCCCGATGTAAGCACAGACAGTTCGCAAGTCGTACACGTACGTAACAGACGCCACACTGGTATAGGATTGGGTTGCAAGATTTAGATATCACGACAAGCCACTTGCGGCCTACCCCTTGTATTGTAGACAAAGCAATATAGGGACTAGGGAGCTCTTGAAGCTATTCTGAATCTCACGTATTTGTTGATATTGCGGACGCCAACTTCACTGACATGATGGCCGATGGGTCAAAAAAGCATACTCAGCATCGCCAAAAGTGGGGGGGGTCGACCCCCCAGTTCTCAAGAGTGGGGGGGTCGCGACCCCCGCGACCCCCCGTCGGCGACGCCCCTGGTAACAGTGAAGAATGATGACTGTACCAACTTTGGTTGTGGGTGCCCAGAGCCCCTTGGGGGGTGCCCAACTCAGCATTGGGGGTGCCCGGGCACACCCAAAAGTATACAAATCGACGCCTATGCCCAGGGACCAGTCTGACATGCTAAGCACGAATCCGGTCTCAGAAGTCTGGTATTCTCAACAGATCTCCCAGATTCAGCCTGGATCGCTCCAGATGGATATTCTCCGGGGTCTCTCGATTTCGCCCAAAATTACCCCAGAGACGAAGTATGACATGCTGAGCATCAGGGGTGCGGAGCCGGAGCCGGAGCTACAGCCGGAGCCGCCGGGCCCAAGCCGGCATATTTTGCCCAGAGCCGGAGCCGTGAAACAACATAGCCCGGAGCCAAAGCCGGAGCCGTCAAAAAAGGGGGCGACTCCGGCTCTTTTTTAGAGGGAAAAAATATTGACCTAGTTGGGTTTGACAGTGCAAGGCAGTAAAATATGTGGTTATCAAAGTAGCCTTGTTAAGCAAATACAGAAGCAACGTGCACCAGTCCAATCGCCTTTTTTCTTCCACCCGTGTTTAATTAATCACACAGGGGATGTGCTGAGTAGGAGCCGGAGCCGGAGCCGGACCATTTTACTCGGAGCCGGAGCCGGAGCCGGAGCCGCCATGACATTTCACCCCGAGCCGGAGCCGGAGCCGATTTTTTTCCGAAGACCCCTCGTTTTTTGTAAGACTTGTTTTATAAGACCCCTCGGCGGCACATGGTCTGCCGTATAGACAAGACAAGAAGCATCGACTCCCCGATGTAGGAGCACAGACAGTTCGCAAGTCGTACTCGTACGTAACAGACGCCACGCTGGTAAGGAGTGGGTTGCAAGATTTAGATATCACGACAAGCTACTTTCCGTCTACCCCTTGTAGACAAAGACTGCGCAGATCATAGGAAATGCTGCGAATGCGGTGTGAGTTGCGGCCACAAAAAGAGACGTTATTTCTTAACGTACCCAGCTATTCTTCGCAAATTAAAGCGTTACGGCACTATGCCAAACAGCAACACTCCTTACCTCCTATGTGTAGGGGTCAGTTTTAACACAATTACTGATTCACCCTGTGTAAACACAAAGAGACCAGACGTGACACGGGCAGCCACCAAGCTAACTGACGACAATTACAGCTAAAACACAACAGCAGCCGGTCATGCACTTGTCGACACGTCTCAGCTTTCCATCCCGCCGTTCAAACCATTTAACACACCGGTCATACGTGTGGGCCGTCCTTCGTGTGGGCCTGCATATGCGTCGTCAGGTTTGACTGTTGAACGAAACGTGCCGTGCAGACAGAGCACCGATAAAGCCGCTCCCCAGTGTGGGTACGCATGTGTGTGTTGAGGCGTAACCGTCTAGTGAACCGTGCTGTGCAGATAGAGCAGCCGTACGGCCGCTCCCCAGTGTGCATACGCATGTGTATGTTCAGATGTGACCTTCGAGTGAATCGTGCCATGCAGACGGAGCAGCCGTACGGCCGCTCCCCAGTGTGGGTCCTCAATTTAGAGTTGCAAAATTTCCCTACCGCACTACCGGCATGCCGGTAATTTTTCACTACCGCAGGTTTATTCGTGGTATCTGGCATGTCTTGCCGGTAGCATGCCGGTATTTTTGATTTTGTGCAAAAAAATATCAGCAAATGATTCAAACTTCGGACACTAAGAGGCTCTCAAATTGTAGTAACAGCAATATTAGCCACTGCAAGATACATTTTGTGGTAGAAGTTCCATTGCTAAGTGTAGGGGTAACACATGGACCTCAGCATTTCACACAATTCACAGGCTTAGT